GGTGAAAACAATATTTTACGAACGAGCGCAGCGAGTGAGTAAAATATTGTTTTCAACACGAGAAAATAATAGTCATATTTCCAAAGCCACCGTGAAATGTTCTTTTTATTATATGGCCAAAATAAATTTCATCAACTAGATGTTTTGTAGCTCACCGTACAGCAACAATGTTATGTCTCTCCGCTCGGTTATAGAGGCTAAATAGTCGCTGAAGATCGCCAAATCGGACTTAGTCTTCCTTTTTGTGTTTTCATTTTCATTTTCTTCAGAAAACCTTGCCAAATCAGCGTCTGAAACATTAACAAAATGTCGAGAATTTGTCATATTGAATATTCAAAACAGAAACGGCAAAATGGCGGGAATTAGCGGGGACCCCGCGCGAGACGTTCCCGCGTAAGATATGATTTCATATTTCACTATAGTGAAATACGGGAAATATCAGTGGCGTATTTTACGGTATTTTACTCATATCCATATAATAAATATATATATTGAAAATTTTCTCGAGTGAGTATTTTATAATTTCCAGACCGCGCGCAAGCAGAAAGATATTAGAGAGGTTAAGATACCGCGGTCCGATTTTCGGGTACGAGTATCGCCATTTTGTTTACCAATTTTTGCTGATGTCAGCATTTTTACCCGTAATTTCTACCCGTTTCCCCGCGGTAAACCATGGTCTACACGTAAAAGACAAACGGGTACGGGTGTTTTCTGTTTACTATATGTGGGCCGTTTAAATAGTAAAAATTTTCAACATCTTACCCAAATAAATAATGCATGTATGCTCGTCAACGTTTTCAACAATTTATGCGAACCTCAACAGCGAAAGTTACCATTCTCTGATCAGTTTTCGCAAGCCGGAATATCTTGGATTTCTTAAGTTACAAGTCTTTCCCTGATTTACGGGTACGTGTATATCACCCGTTCCCGTAAACCGGAACCGGGGTATCTTAACCTCTCTATTGCCTGCCGCGCGCGGTCTGGAAGACCCTAAGGCAGCGTTTACACTGTACCGTTTTCGTAGCGTTCTCGTATTGTTCTTAATCCTCAAGGGAACGCAAGACAATAGTCTAGTTCTCTCGAACAATACGAGAACGCTACGAAAACGGTACAGTGTAAACGCTGCCTAAGATGCAACTTATGCTTATACAAGAGAAGCGGATGAAAATCTGCTAAACAAAAGATCGGAAATCTTCTCGAAGTGCGCGCACCAAAAGCATTTTTTAGCGGGAAGTGTGGTTCTCCACAACGGTATTCGAGAACAATGTTCATTGATGATCGCAGTAATGCGTGAAACTCGGAGTAGAGACAAATAAACATTTTAAGTAAGAACAGTACTTATATATATAATGATATAGATAATAATCAACTCTGATGTCTGTCTTAGAGAGATGTCTGTCTTAGAGAGATGTCTGTGTTAGAGAGATGTCTGTGTTAGAGAGATGTCTGTGTTAGAGAGATGTTTGTCTTAGAGAGAAGTCTGTGTTAGAGAGATGTCTGTGTTAGAGAGATGTCTGTGTTAGAGAGATGTCTGTGTTAGAGAGATGTTTGTCTTAGAGAGATGTCTGTCTGACTTAGAGAGATGTCTGTCTGACTTAGAGAGATGTCTGTGTTAGAGAGATGTCTGTGTTAGAGAGATGTCTGTGTTAGAGAGATGTCTGTGTTAGAGAGATGTCTGTGTTAGAGAGATGTCTGTGTTAGAGAGATTTCTGTGTTAGAGAGATGTCTATGTTAGAGAGATGTCTGTGTTAGAGAGATGCTGTGCTGAGTGGTTATATTACTACCTTAAAAAATAAGCAGAAACTCGACGTTTCGAGCGAAAGCCCTTCGTCAAGACTAACTCTTGACGAAGGGCCTTCGTCCACTAACTCTTGACGAAGGGCGTTCGCTCGAAACGTTGAGTTTCTGCTTATTTTTTAGAGAGATGTCTGTCTTAGAGAGGTGTCTATCTTAGAGAGATGTCTGTGTTAGAGAGATGTGTGTCTCAGAAAGATATTTCTTAATATAGTTCATATCTATTTTTTCTATTTTCTGTTTCAGTGCCTGGAAAAGCACCAAGAAATCTTGAGGTTTATCCCAGCCCTAGGAAAGCTTGGTTAGATTGGAAAGTCGTACAACCATATTATCAATATGGCAAACAAATAAGTTACCGGATCATAGTGAAAAATTTAAGAACTGCAGAAATAGATTTTGGCCATCACGTTGCCGTACAAGATCAATCGAAAATTGATTATGGTAAATTGCTTGATGGTTTGAAAGGACTCACAAATTATCAATTGAACGTGTCTTTGATAAATGTGGTTGGAGAAGGGCCTATAACCAGTCTTTTGTTTGCAACTCTCGAAGGAGGTGAGGATCGAGATTTTCATTCATGGTATTGTTGAGATATGTTGGGGACATGGACGACCAGCTAACTTTGAGAAAGTCACTCTCTGATGGCATTATTTGTTACAAGCTGCCAATTGGCATTTTCCTATAGTTTACACATTGGTGAACAAGACTATGCAGGGTGTATAAAAAAAACTGAACAGATTTGAACTTGCTCTTAATTTTGCAAAACAGCTATTAGTATCCTGGGTTTTTTTATATATATAGCTTCTTTGGGTACTTATGATGTAGAATAATGAAAACAATTTCTCGAACACAAATTTTGTAAACCAGGGGGTGTGTCTTTTCCGACAAACTAAAAATAGCTTGCGCACGAGATTTAAAAGCTATAATCGTATTTTGAGTTAATGGATGAAAACTGTGTTGGGTGTGTAATTGCTGCACGAAATTTCAGACAATTTGCTTCAGTTTAAGCCCTTCAACTATTCACGCAAACGTACATTTTTTCCTAAAAATTCATCATTTGCATGCTTAATTAATGCATTTGCCTAATTGCATATGTCAGCAATATGCAAATTAGGTAAACGCATTAATTAAGCATGCGAAAGGCTGATTTTTTAGGAAAAAATGGATAGTTAAAGGGCTTAAACTAAAGCAAATTGTCTGAAATTTTGTACAGTAATTAAAAACCCAACAAATTTTCCATCCATTTACTCAAAATACGATTAAAGCTTTAACTCAAAATACGATTAAAGCAATTCCGTGCGCAAGCCATTTTTAGTTTGTTGGAAAAGTCACACCCCTGGTTTAAAAAATTTGAGTTCGAGAAATTGTTCCCATTATTCCACATTATAAGTACCCAAGGAACCTATATACATAAAAAACTGGATACTAATAGCTGTTTTGCGAAATTGAGAGCAATTTCAAATCTGTTCAGTTTTTTTTTTTGTACACCCTGAATATGTTGGCATCTCTGATTTTGGCTTTATTTATTTTGCCTAATATAATACTGTGGTGACTAAAAATGTAAAATTTTAAGTTCACTTTTCACAAAAATAATCTATACCATCAGAACGATAGCAAAAAAGTATATATAAGACATTTCAGCGAGTAGTGCGAATTTTCAAGCCGGTTTTGAGTTGAAGGAGCTTAAAATTGGCAAAATAGTAACTATTAACATCCATTTTTCTCTGGGTATTCTGATTTCCCAGTAAACCACACACGTAAAAACGCACAAGTTGTAACAAACCTACAGCAGACTTGTAGCAATGCTGTTCCAACAACTTGTCAACAGGATGTGTTCGCACTGCTTGTTCCCAGTTGTTGCCAACTTGCTACAAAGTTGTTGAGCTCAACAGACTTGTTACAAGTTGTTCCAACAACTTGTTATTGTCCTGCAATTCAACAATTTGTCAACAAGTTGGGAGTGACAACCTTGTAGCAACTTGATTAAATAACAGCATTGTTACAACTTGTTGACAAGCTTGCTACAAGCCTGTTGCGAACACATCTTGTTGACAAGTTGTGAGATTTTTACGTGTATATCATTAATAATTTTGATTATTTTTGTTCGTTTTAGTACCGAGTGCTTATCCACAACAGTTCAGCATCGTCAACGTTACGTTCAATACAATCTCGGCGACATGGGAAGCTATTGATTTCGAGGAAACTCATGGTATACTCCGAGGTTATCACATTTATTATAGACTGGCTGGCTTGAATGGTACCTGGGCTAATGTTAGTGTGACCGACCTGGCGGCGAATGCACCAGTTCTTAGTTTGAGGTCCTATGAAATAAGAGTATGTGGATACACAAGAGTTGGGGATGGGATAATTTCACCTATACATATTGTTAATACGACAGGATTTAGTAAGTACATAATTATTATGTTTTTTTTGAATTAGAGTTATTGTCTGCACTATCATCACCATAATTATACCATCAACACACCGTCATCACTATCATCACCATAATTATCATCACCATCAACACCAGTGTCATCACTATCATCATCATCGCCATAATTATCACCATCAACACCCCCGTCAACACCATCATCACTACCATCACCATAATTATCAACACCATCATCACCATAATTATTACCATCAACACTACCATCATCATCATCATCACCATAATTATTACCATAAACACCACCATCATTATCATCATAATCATCATCACTATCATCATCACTATCATCACCATCATGATAATCATAATCATCACCACCATCATTATCACCATCATCATTATCACTATCATCATCACAATAGCTATCATCACCATCATGATTATGATCATGACCACTATCATCATCATCATCACTATCATGATCACCATCATCATTATCATCACCATCATCATCATCACTGTCATTGTTACTATTATCCTCACTATCATCACCATTATCATAATCATGATCATCATTATTATCATCATCACCAAAATAGCACCATCATCATCAATCATCACCATTATCACTATCGTCATCATCACTATCATCATCACCATCATCACCACCATTATCATTATCACTATCATCATTATCACTATCATCATTATCACGATCGTTATCATCATCAATAATCATCACTATCATCATTATCATCATCATCACTATCATCATCACTATTACTATCATCATTATCACGATCATTATCATCATCAATTATCACTATCATTATCATCACCATCATCATCATCATCTCACCATCATCATCACTATCATCATCACTATCATCATCATCATCACTATCATCATCATCATCATCACGATCATTATCATCAACTACACTATCTTCATCAACGACCATCATCCCCACCACTATTATCACCGTTACCTCTACCATAAGTCATAACCTTCACTTCTCATCCATAATCACTTTTCTTGAAACTAGCACCGACCAACGTATCAACGGACATAAGAGTAACGAATGCAACAAATGACACGCTGTCAGTTGAGTGGAGCTACCAGACAGTACTGAGTAAACCAGCGCAGTATTTCATTATTACTGCAACAAGAAACGATACCAACATCACAGAAGCTACAGAATGGCTTGATGTAGTATTCTGGCCAGAGGATGTGTACTGGATAACTTTGGAAGGCTTACAAGAGTATAAGTGGTATATCATTCGTGTTGCTGCTGGAAATTTGATGGGTCTGGGACCTTACAGTGATATGCTTGTTTTGAACCACACATCAGAAGGAGGTAAGAGTAGGCAGAGAGCTTTATATACAGCGAGAACTCGAGTTCAAAAGCGAAGCCAATGATGCATGTCATTGTTTCCTGATCTGCCCTCCTTCTGGAAACATGGCTAGGAAACAATGTTCTTGGTTTGTTCACCTTCAGGAAACATGGCTAGGAAACAATGTTTCCTGGTTTGTCCACCTTCGAGAAACATGGCTTGGAAATGTTTTATGGTTTGTCCACCTTTGGAAAACATGGCTAGGATTCCTGGTTTGTCCACCTTCAGGAAACATGGCTAGGAAACAATGTTTCCTGGTTTGTCCACCTTCGAGAAACATGGCTTGGAAATGTTTTATGGTTTGTCCACCTTTGGAAAACATGGCTAGGATTCCTGGTTTGTCCACCTTCAGGAAACATGGCTAGGAAACAATGTTTCCTGGTTTGTCCACCTTCGAGAAACATGGCTTGGAAATGTTTTATGGTTTGTCCACCTTTGGAAAACATGGCTAGGATTCCTGGTTTGTCCACCTTCAGGAAACATGGCTAGGAAACAATGTTTCCTGGTTTGTCCACCTTCGAGAAACATGGCTTGGAAATGTTTTATGGTTTGTCCACCTTTGGAAAACATGGCTAGGATTCCTGGTTTGTCCACCTTCAGGAAACATGGCTAGGAAACAATGTTTCCTGGTTTGTCCACCTTCGAGAAACATGGCTTGGAAATGTTTTATGGTTTGTCCACCTTTGGAAAACATGGCTAGGATTCCTGGTTTGTCCACCTTCAGGAAACATGGCTAGGAAACAATGTTTCCTGGTTTGTCCACCTTCGAGAAACATGGCTTGGAAATGTTTTATGGTTTGTCCACCTTTGGAAAACATGGCTAGGATTCCTGGTTTGTCCACCTTCAGGAAACATGGCTAGGAAACAATGTTTCCTGGTTTGTCCACCTTCGAGAAACATGGCTTGGAAATGTTTTATGGTTTGTCCACCTTTGGAAAACATGGCTAGGAAACAATGTTTCTTGGTTTGCCCACCTTCGGGAAACGTGATTAGGAAACAATATTTCTACAAAAATGCTTTCTGGTTTACTCTCTAACTTATAAATAACAACGAAATAAGATTCAAAAGAATTTATTATTTATACTTTTTTAGTTCCCTCAGCAGCGCCTAGAAATTTGACTGCACAGAACACTTCATCGCGAAGTATCTTACTTCAGTGGAAGCCAGTTTTGTACGAATATGCAGACGGAATTATCCGTGGGCATAAAGTTTTCTGGCGTTTGGCAGATATCTCTGTGGAAA